TCAGTAAAAAGGGGAGTGAGGTTGAGACATTGATTGATTATATAGATTTCTTGATGGTAGAGACTTGCCTTAATTATTATGAAACCCCAGCCAATTTTGTGGCACCAAGAAGAAGTTGTGTTTGCTCAGCCAAGCAGATGCAACACACACACACACACACACACACACACACACACACACACACACACTCACACACACACACACACACACACACACACTCACACACACACTCACACACCAAAGAGTGATGAATTTTGTGACTTCATGTTATTGGAACTTCTTGGTAGGGCTCTGATTTTAGATGACTAAATCATAGCTGAGATAACCAGTGTGATTTGGCTGTGGGTGGCTGTTTGTTATACAACTTGAATGTTTTTCAGTTATTTTCAAAATATGAACAGTTGCTTTCAAAGCACTTTGATTTTTTTTTTTTTTTTTGGCTGGATGTTATCAGGATCTCTTTCTCTCTCTGGGTCTTTCCTTTTTATTGAGCATTTGCTATGCAGCAGACATTGTGCCAGCTGTTTTACCTTTATTATTTCAACTAACATCATTGGTGGGTTTTGTTATTTCCATTACTCAGTTGAGAATCTTGAGGCTCCAGAAAGTCTGAGTCATCCAAGACCACTGTTAAGACCACAACTCTTAAATGGTAGAAGAATTTGAACTCAGATCCCTCTGAGTAGTAAAATAGGGGTAGGGGCCAGAGACAGCAATCCTTCTCTTGTCTTATTATTGAGCTCACTACTTTGCAGAGAAAAATCCATCTACTTACTTATTATTTTTAGAGGATCCTGACACTGTTCCTGGCTGTGCTAAGCCCATTATATACTATCTTATTTGATGCTATTAATAATCTGGCAGGGTAGATATTAATGTTAGACCTAAATATCAGAAGAGATAATTATTGAGGTATTCATAGTTTAAGTAATAAGTTCCAAGTAATTCAGGCTGTAATTGGCACAATTTAACTTAGGTAGTCAGACTCTCTAGCGAACTCTTATAAGTCTCATCTACTGATTTTAGTGTCCACAAGGTCATGTGGTCTCCATTATTCTGGGAACATCCTTATGGCTTATCTAGAACTTAACATCTACTCTTTTTGGTGGTGCCCATCCTCAGACTCTCCTCATTCCTGAGAATAAATAATGGAAATCGAGGATATGGAAGACATGGAACCATAGGTCAATAGTTTTAATGTTGAAATATTTCTCCAAGAGGTCATCCAGCCCATTGGTCTCTAACTGTGGGGAATGACCTGTGTAGTGGGTTATAAAATCAACTTAGTAGTTCATGACCAACATTTCAAAATAAAAAAAAAATAGAAAACAGAGTGTATCGCACTGAAGGCGAGGTCGTGTTGAGAAACAGTGATCTCAGTTTTCTCAGGCTGTGTGCTCTGAGTCACCCTGTGAAATGCACTGCTTATGGAGGATCCCTTTTCACAAAGTTTGGAAGATGTTGGCTTCACTCAATGGTTTTTAAATTTTGTTCCATGGCCTCCAAGGAGGCCTGAGATACCTTAGGGGAGATGGGGATTAGAGAAGTTGAGTAAGAGGAAGAACTTCAGGAATGTCCCCTCTTCTAGCTAAAGTATTTCCATGTTCATCTGGTTTCCATGTTGGATTTTCATGTAGTATTTAATCTTTT